CAGTCACAAGAACGTCGAATATGAATCACTTGAAAAAAACACGGGGGTGCTTAACTTTTTTCCAGGTGTATAGTAAGATGCGTTATGGTGACATCGGATGATAGATTGTTGACAATATAAATTATACAATTATGTAAAATCACAATCCAAGTGAAAAAGAGAAGCTTATTTAAATGTTATTCACTCTCAATAAAAAAAAATATAACTGGTATGTCAAGAAACAAAATATGCAATATTTAAAGCTCACAATACGACACAAAATTATTTTTATTTATATTTTTTTAAATGTAAAAGCGATGTCAAAAGATTCTGATTTGTTTTAAGCTAACATAATTTAATAAACGTCTTCCATACTTACAAACTGTTACAATATAAGGATTCCACACTTCTGAAAATATTATAGTGATTTAAGCTTTCAATCGTTTTTTATGTTGTGATTATGCAAATGAAATTTAAAACACAATATTTAATTTGAGACAAATTATTTGTAAAACATTGGTAATATGCAAATAAAACATATCAATCTTACTATCCTACAATGTATGTTTCATCTCCTCCAAAGTACTAAATTTCTCCTAATCTTTTCCTGGAACTTACTAAATCCGGTTGAAGGGATGTGTTAAACTCAGGCTGGGGTGTTAATTTCTCTAACAGGTCCACTTAAGGAACTTGTCAATTTCTTCAAAGCATAGTTGTATTGTATCCTATTTTACCTTAAAATAGAGGTACTTCCACATTCCGGTGCCCATTTTCTGGTTGGTTAGCTAAAGAGAAGAGTTTTGTAAATGCGGTTTTTTCTTGTCTTCCAAGAAAGCTTTTTCTTCTGTTGTTGTTGTTTTGAAGGAGCTAGAAAGAGCTGTGAAATTTCCATCTTTGTTTTACTGTACAGATGATTGAGTACTTCACATCAAAACGATTTTGAATATGCAAATCAGCAAGTCATGTGACAGCCACAGCGTATATAGTCACAGTGGAACAAATTGTACCATAACTACATTTTGACATTGTAAGTAGTATGATGAAACCAAAAATTGAGTGTTTTTAGGAAGGGTATGTAACAGCCTTTTCTAACGTAAGATCTTTAAATTGCATTGGAAGGCAGAGAAATATGTATCAACTCTGAGCACCAGTACCATCATTAAGATCCCAAACAAGTTGTATCCCAGCTGTGGAAAAAAAAAGCAGCATCTTGTAACAGGTGAAAGCCCATGAATATAAAGGTCAGTGGCAAAAGCCGTCCATGTATCCTAAGCAATAGTACGTAACATAGTCAAGAAGGGTCTTAGTCTTTGTCAAAGTGGCAGTACATAGTGACTCTGAAAGCAAGTGTTTGTGGACTTTGATAACACGTATAATGCTATTTTCTACTGGTCAATATATAAAAGTGATACATGAAATGTTGGAAACGTTTTAGAAGATATTCATGATCATCACTGGATACTGCACCAGGGGCAATTTAGAGATCAGGAACGTGGCTACAAATATCAATGTGAACTTTGCTTATTATTATACTAATGTTCTGGACCTTTTGTACCACACAGAGTTATTGACTTTTTACATAAACAAAGCCAACAATAGCATGGGTTCCTAATGTTGTTCCTGTATAATCTTCCCATATCTCAGGCTGCTGGAAAATGGAAATGGTATTCATGCTATTCCATACATAGACATACTGGTCAAGTTGGCAAATGCAGCACTTATGGATTTGTGTGTGACTGGAGTCTTGAAACAGCAGCTTAAAAACTGTCATCTTCATACACTAGATGGATTATGGTAGGTGTCGTATGATTTGGACATGAAAGCCTTAAAACTGAGCCTTTTGCAATGGAAACTATGCTGCAGGGTTATTGTTAAGATGTACAGTCATCAGAAAGATAAAGACTGGACATGGCAAAATGGACTGTAATGATGAAACAAGGCTCCAAAATTGTATTAATATAATGTACTCAACCCCTGTATTCTTCATTTTGTTACTGTATGCCTTTACATTATTCATCAAATCTTTTCACACAGTTATTCTGTTGCTGTACTGTAGATTCCATTTTTCTTTACTTCATAATGCAGTAGTCCACAATTACTTCAAAACAGCTCTTCTACTGTTTTCACTTTGAACAAAATGTTTTATCCTGACTTCAAAACTTATCATGTCCATCTCAATCCACCTGTAACAAATCACTGCACTCATCCTTCCACATACTAAATCATGACTTACTTCACAAGGTAAATTTTTGGACAACCAAAGCTAACTAAACCAGAGAAACTTCCCACCTTTCAGGTGATATATTTATGATTTTGTTAGTTTGAAAATTTAGAAACTTGGAAATTAAATAAAAGATGCAGTTAGCTGAATTTCACAATTTCTGACATTATAATGACTTAAACAGTCATGACTTTCACCATTCCATGACTAGTTTAGAATATATAATTAATCAGATACTTCAGAAAAAGTTTTAAATTTGCTTTTGCAGGGGTTCTTGCATGTAGTATGGCATTCTTCTTAAATGTACATTAAAAGGTCAAAACACATAGTAAACCTTTCACCTAGGTACTTTACAGTGCATGTGACAATGGCTATACATTCATATCACTCTGGCCCTGTGTCATGGGGGTGTTTCAGATACATTCATATCACTCTGGCCCTGGGGTGTTTCAGATAATTATAAAAACTGATATAAGTATAACATAACAATCCCTATAAATGTTGTTCAGAATAGTAGGTAACAAATAAGCTATTCTCTGCTTAACATTCCTGAAACATGTCTTTCGCTAATACTTATGGACATATTTTTTAGTGCCATGACAAAGGATTTTTATTGCAAAGTTTATTTTGAATGTGTTCCTTTTTCCATTTGACTTTCTGGTACCTGTAACATTTGATAATCACAATCACTGATAGATACTTTCTGAAACTATATAGAACTTACTGGGGAGAGAAGAAACTACAAACACTTTAGGGATAGAAGAAAAGACTGATGAAAACACCAAATTCTGCTCTGACAGAACATAAAATAAACTGGGATATAGCAGATGCACTGACTCAGATAAATTCTGGAAAACAATAAGAATCAAAGAATCTTTCTACATTAACATAATGAAACCATCATTAAACAAAGACTCAAGCCTGGAAATCAGTAGTTTGTGGCTACTATTAATCAAATCACCACTAATTCCACCAACCAAATTACAAGAGAACTACTAACCAATCACATCATTACCACCTCAATCCTCCTGGATAACGTATAAAAATCTGCAAAAACCAATGCAAGCTGAGTTGAAGATGACAGACAATAGTCTTTTAAAACTTCATCCTTTCTATTTGCACTACTTTAGTAGATTAGTCCCCCAAGACCTTTTCCACAACTGTCGTGCTGAATTAGGCAGTTCCTATCCATTTCACCTTTGTTCATTGTGAGTCCAAGGATAAATCACCTACAGATTGAGACTTCATGTCAGAGTATACAAATCACCAAAAACATTTGAGTTAACGCTGTTACAATTTTGAGTGAGAAATTTCAAGCAACATTTACTCTGATCAATTCAAAGATAAAGAAAACATCTATGCCAGTAATTTGGTATGATTTTAAAACAAGGTAGTGACACATGGATCCAAAGACAGCAATGATGACTTTTTAATAAATTTAATATAAGAATCAATTAAACATTAAGTTGCAACTTAAAAATCCCCAACAAACCCAACCAAATAAAATAATTATCTCTTGTGATGAAAAATAATAGTAGTTAGAGAGTCAATTAGGAAAAATATTTCTTGTTTTTACTATAATAATAATAAAAAAAAGGTTTTGTTTTAGCAATAAAGTCATTTATTATCTTGGATTTAACTTTCTGAAGACAACTACTTTAAATTCTGTTGTATCTAAGACATTTACCAAAATAATACTCCTCTTAAACAACTTTAAGTTTTAGGACAACTTTTATGTAACTGATGTCAAATGACACCCACAAATAGTGATTTGTACATAATAAACATTTGTAAACCAACTGGTATCCAATGGTTTTAAAAGGAGCTAAAACATTAAATGTCAAACTTGTTTTTCACCATGTTATTTTTCTAATAATTTTCAATATTATTACAATGACATACACATATCAATCCTCATTTGAAGTTCTTTACTTGCTGTTGACAAGACAAAGTTATAAACCATAACTAAAAACTGTGTTGTACAACACTTGTAAAAATTATGTTTAGGACATTCAGGTGAACACATTTAAAAAATCTTGTCTGCCACTTCTCATACACTAAAATGTTCAATATTTTCAACGTCAAGTCTATTAATCCACTGTACTATTAAGATGTCACTGGAAGCTTAAGCACCAGTTTCATCTGAGTTCTTGAAGCTTAGAGTACCACAATACTTTAGTGAACCACAGGATTTAAAGGTTCAGCCTTTATGCTTGACAAGTCAAGCCTCTCATCTAGGTCATCATCCAATTCTCCAATCACAGCTCTAGTATAAAAAAAGAAAAAAAGAATTATATATATCTTTATATTATAAACATATTGATCTTCTCCAAACATTTTAATTTTTTTCAGATTGTGCAAAACTGCACAAAGGGCTACCTCTCCATGGTAATTCAATTGACAGACTAGAGGAAAGACAGCTAATGAATGGTGTCCATCCTCAACTTTTGCCTGACCAAATGGTGGAATTTGACAATCATTCTTATAATGCACCTATGGCTTCAAAGTTGGAGCATGCTTATGTGACAACAGGCCATGAACAATGAACCCATCATCTCACAGTCTGAATAGACTAACAACTAGGCTACACTTGTCCCACTTTCTCATTTATTGAAAAAAATATATATATAGAAATTCTCACCCAAAACACCCAACTATACCTCAATCTTAGCACTGTTTTGTGTACAGATCAAATAAAGGTTTACTTAAAGAACTCTAATTATGATTTTCCAACAGTGTTATACACAGGAGTATTAAATATAAAGTCTCAACACACAGTGCTACATATCAACCCTTTCTGGACTGCAGGAGTGTCACCTATATCCCTTGATTTTTTTCATTCTCATAGTTGAAATACTTAATCAAATTCCATGAAACTTAGAAAAAAACTTACTAAACATCTAATTTCAGTTTTAAAAAATGTGTATAATTTGATTTAGTTTTCTATAATTTTTTATGTTGTGAATTTTTTCAAAATGTTATGAGACACATTTTAAAAAAACATTAAAAATATTTCATTTCATCTTAAAATCTAAATTTTCTTTACTGTCGATCAAGAAGGTCTATTTTAAAAATTCAGTCAGTTTCAAACTGATTGATATTCATTGATATATTTCTTTTCTTACTTTATTTTTTCAACTTAAGCAGTCACCACTTTCTGCTATAAATTATGAAAAATCCCAAACACTGAAAAAGATCAAATGGTGATCCATGACCTGAACTTTCAAGATGGTATCAGGTCAAGTAACAATATTTTTTGTTAATAATATTTTTCATGAAGATAAATTTATATTTAATAAGTAGTTTTTCTATAAAATAATTAGTTTTCTTATTTAGGTATTTTGTTTGAGTGCATTAAACTTAATAATTACACTTTCCCATAAAACCATAAATTACTGTTCCCATCCTTTATTTACATTGTTATAAACAGTTTATAATCAGCTCTATCCAATGGTATTCAACTGTTCCTGTAGCTGTATTCATTAGTATATGTTCAGATCCCATGCTCTGATATCACAAATGAGCGGGAACCAGGGGCACATCCACATCTGGAATATCTAGTCTTTTTTTATATATCTTTTAAATTCTTCCTACATTATGACCTTCACTGATACTCAAAATGATATTTTTTTTATTTTTTTTTATGAGTGGTAGAATAATCATACTATATAAATTGAACCACTTGTGCATGTGTGTGTGTGGTGGGGAGGGGGTGGGGGAGAAGGAGGTTATTTTAAGTAAAAAAATTGTACCACTAACAAAGCTTATTACAAAGACACGCCTGAGGTAATTGTGATTTTTTTCATAATTAAACACACACGCACACACACATATATTTTAGAAACACCACTGGTGGGAACAAAAAGCTGTAGTAATGAAGACAAGGAAAAATCATGTAAGAAACAAAACACACACACAATTATATTTTCAAGGGATGGGTTTCTTAACAAATACAGCATAGGTTATGCTTTGGATTGGAAGAAAACTTCTAAAAAATCAATAAGTACCTTATTTTCAGACAAGATTCCTTGAAGCTGTACATAAGTTTAAGTTTGAACTTTTTTTATTTTTTTAGAAATTACACAAAATAAATAAATATTTCAAAATTTCAAATACCAATTCTAAAATATTTCTTTAGTTAAATATTGAAGAAATTAGAATTGATATTTTTACTTGATATCTTCATATAAAAGTACTTGTCATCATGGATAGGATTCAGTGGTGGCACCCAATGCTGCCATATTAAGTAGCAACACATGCACTACATATTAAGTTGTAGCACACGGTATTAAATATAAATTGGCAGCATATAGCACAACTTATTAAGTGGCATTTTTGAAAGTTACCAGTTTTCTGTACTGAAAATGTATTTCTGATAAACACTTACCTCCCTCACAAAATAGCTTTTCTCAACTAGCACTGCCCTTTATTGGTGCACATTTTCACTTCCCACCAATAGCCTTCCACCTCCTGCTTCTGCATATCCACATGCAAATAATCATGCAGCAGCTCTCGACCAATAGGAGCATGACACCACTCCCATCTTAACCAACCATCACCCTACACCATATTGGAAAATGCTAACTTCTGATACGATATCTTACCTCACAAAATAGCTAGAATCCCACATTGAACAGGTGGTAGGCCGATAGAAAAAATGATCCCCCTTTAGGAAGCACCCAAAGAGAGACCAGGAGGTGTGGAACCAAAAGAGGAGACTGCACCACATTTGATCCAAGTTACTATTCACTCTTTTTATGACAGTGTCATGAGCATAAAAGGCTGAAAAACATCAAGGAATCCTAGAATATGTATGACCAATGAATGGGACTGCTGGGTGTTGAGTCGCTAGGGCACGACAGATCGTAGTGGTAGTTCGACCTCATCCAACACCAGGTAGGATCTGGAGTGGTAGATCAGATCTGCAGTAGGTAGAGGATAACCTACCTCTTTGCCTTGAACTGGGAATTGGTAGGGAAGACAAGCTTCCGTACTAATATCAGTCTCCACTTGCACGCACGTCCAACACCAGATCCACCAGGAACCAACATCCAGTAGATGGTAGGAAGGTAGAAAGCCCTGGCTGAATTACATCTCAGAACCAAAATCTGACAGCAATGGATATGGTACTTCCAGTCTGTGGTACAACCAACACCAGATCTGCCAAGAACTGACATCCAGCAGATGGTAGGAAGGGAGACCACAAACCTGAGGGTGCATCTCCAGTCCAAAACCTGGTGGCAGTGGGCATTTGTCATCCAGTCCATGGTAGGAGAAGAGATACCGGCCAGCATACATGAGGACTTATTAACTCTGGACCCACTGGGAATGTACATCCAGAGGATGTTAGGGAGGAGGAACATCTCAGCCTGAGGGGCAAACTGCAATAATATATATATATTTGTGACATGACAGAGTGATTCAACCAAAACCTGGCAGCATCTGAAATTGTACATCAGGTCATTGGTAGGAAGGGCATCACACCATCTACACGTGATACTAATCATGATCGGGCCATCTCCAACCCAAACCAGACACACCAGGAATGTACATCTGTAGAATGGTAAAAAGGAGGAATGCCACAGTAGGAAAAAACAATTGGTCAGATATATAGACAGGAGTATGGCATAGTGTTACAAACAGACCTGGCAGCATCTGGAATTGTATGCCAGGTCTGTGGTAGGAAGTGTGATACACCAGCTACACCTGCAGTATGCTACCACCCTACTCTTAACTGAGTGGCATGATTCATCACTTAAAGAGACAGGCCTCCATGGTCTGTGGTAGGAAGTGTGATACACCAGCTACAACTGCAGTATGCTACCACCCTACTCTTAACTGAGTGGCATGATTCATCACTTAAAGAGACAGGTCTCCATGGTCCACCACCCCAGCAACAAGGAACTGGTAAGGACTCCCACACTTCACGAGAGGAAAGGGGTAAAAAATGCATTGGAGAATCCAGAGGAGTGCATCACTGGAGACAGTGCAACATGTGATCATAATAACCTATTTTGAAAAGCAGAACTACCATGTTGATGGAGTTGATCAACCATAGTAGGAACAGTCTCAATGCCATGGAACATCAGAGATAGGCAGCAATCTCTGTCTGCTTTACTGTTAGTCCATGAGTGTACGGTCCCGAATGAACATAGTTATGAAGAAAAAAACCCAATAGAAAGACCTACTAACAGTCCTATGGAACACCCCATCTCTATGGTGTGCATAACCCTAAAACTGTGACGTAATTATATAGTGGAGAAATACAACCCAAACCTGACAGCATCTGGAACTATACATCAGGTCCATGGTAGGAAGGGCTACAATGTAATTGATGTCAAGCATGGTCACAGGATGGTCAGTGCATATTTTTATAAAAAGTATATTTGCCATAGAGTGGGATCCACAATACACTAGCAAAAGGCCCTTGAAAAAGTAAGAAAAGTTAAAAAAAAACCTTTCACAATACCAAAACACAAAAATTTAAACAAATAGTAAAGAAAAACTAAGTCAGTAGTATAAAAGAAAATGTTGACAAATCTACAAGCAGAAACCACCAGGTCTGTACAGTACCACTGCCAACTGAGAAGTGATTAACAAGTGCAGATGTGAAGAGGGTGCTGGTTACGATGGGAGTGGAGAGCTGCCATGTGATCATTTGCATGTGGATATGCTGCAGCAGGAGGTGGAAAGCTGGTGGCATGTGGTGAAAATTTGTGACGATAGAGGGAAGTGCTAGTTGAGAAAAACCATTTTGTGAGAAGAGGTAAGATATTGTATCAGAAGCCATACACCATATACGACAAACTTGCATTCCACTGCCAGAGATGGACTGTATCCTATATGGTGAATCAACAGTCAATGGGTTAAATATAGTGACAGCACACAGCACTACATCTTAAGTTGCAACACAGTATTAAATATAAAGTGGCAGCACACAGCATTAAATATTAAGTTGCAATACAATATTAACCCTCAATTTGTCGTGTGGTAAAATGGAACATATATGATCGCTTGGGGTCATTATGACCCCAATGCCATATTTAAATTACTATGAAGCTCAAACTCTTATAATATGTTTTGTTTTGTTCAAATCCTTATTTGTAAGCAAAATAGAATAATGAAAGCCTTAGATTATGGCTTATGATATTAAAGAGTATTGCAGTGGTGGTAAGTCCTTTTTTAGCCATCTGTATAAAATAAGAGCCAAAGTGGCATTATGAAGATGTAACAAGAACTAATCACATATCATTTAAAACAAACAATTAAATAGAGAAATGCCAGAAAAGAAGAGATACAGAATAAAAATACATTTTTTAGCCATAAACTACAAAAAACACATAAAAGTAAATTAAAATCAAAGGAAAACAAACTGACCTTGCAAAAATTATAACCCAAGTAGTCGTGTGGGGTAAACATTACACCAATCTAAAACTTTGCAAAAATCTACAACTGCAAAACACTGATTAAGACTGTAACATGGACAGACACACAATTAAGGATGCTACTGTGGTTGGGGCTAAGTAAAATGCCATCTATCACATAATAATTAATTAAAGAAATTGCATGGGGGTCATGACCCCATATGACTAACTGAGTGTTAAAAATAAAGTGGCAGCAGTACATTAAGTGACAATTCAGAGCTACATACTACAGCAGAACCTTGATTAATGGATACCGTGCCATAAAGGGCAGATCTTTTCAGTCTCTTTCTTTTTTTCTATTATTTATAACTAAAATAAAACTTGCAATAATGGGCACCTTGATATTCTGAATTAAGGACAGCGCCTTTAGTCTCTTTCTCTATACGGTCACTCGATAAAGTGGACAGTTGTCTTTGTAATCCTGTATGGTATACCGCAAAACATCCCAGAAGGATGACCACTATTCAAACTCTTATGATGTTTACTCGATCGGTTTCATACCATATACTGTAATAAATGTTTTCAGATTCATGGTGCAATCTTATTACTCTGGGGAATTCTTGTTGTAAACACTGTAGGATACATAAGCTGATAAATTCTACATCGTGTTCTCGGAGAAGGAATCAAGTTGGCTTATTTCTGTGCACGTGCTTTGTTGCTTCTGAAGAGAAGTACTTTCAAATTCTGTGACCAATAATAAAGAAAAAAAAAGGCTCAACTAATCCACCCCAAGACCTCCTGTTGACAATGTTCCATGTCATAGCAACATGCACCTCAGGAACACCAACTTTGCATGGCTCATTTTTGATATTAAGAGCACCTTGCTACAGAGGGCATTTGGATGCAGTCGGAAGGGTACCCTTAATGTCGAGGTTCTACTGTAACTGGCAGTACATAGTATTAAACATATAGTAGGAGCACACAGTATTCAATGCATGGTGGCAGTACACAGCACTATATATTACATGGAAGGATGCACTACATAAGTGACAGCACACAGTGCTTTATGTGTCACTATTCAGAGACATATTAAGTTGCAGTTCTACTGTAACTGGCAGTATATAGTATTAAACATATAGTGGCAGCACACAGTGCTTTATTTGTCACTATTGAGAGACATTAAGTTGCAGTATATTGTATGGTCCCGTATGGAACAATACATCAGTTCCCATCCATACAACACTATACATTACATATATGTACCAGTAATATACTACAAGAAACTATACGATATTATACATTACATTAAAGCTGGGTAATTACTGGTATTTGCTAATTGATTAACTTACAGCCCCATTAATCAGTTACATTTGATTAACCAATTAGTACAGTATTTCTCAAGCCATGTTACATGAAAAAAAGGAAGGAACTTGCCAGTGCATACGGCAAGCTAGTTGTCTTATTTCTAGTCGGCAGTTACAAAGGGGGAAGAAATGTGGGAGGGGGTGTTGAATGCCATTCATCTTCCTCTAGTCAGCAGTTCAAGAGAAAAAAAACAAGAATAAAGTAGACAGCTTGTGCTACCACACAGATGCCTTCCCTCTAAGCTGAAGTTCAAAACTAGTGACAGTGGCAGATAACCTTAGCAGTTGTGCCATAATAAAGACATGGGGAGCAAGAGCAAATTTGGTGGCATTGGGAATCAAACCTAAAACAATCTGACCTGTATCTGAAAAAACAAAAAACACAGATCCTCAAAAAAGATCCAATTAAGACAATATTGATGTACAAAGGCCCTAAAAAAGACCCAATTACAATTTTGAGGTTTTTATATCTTATTTATTTCCAAACGGTAAAATTAATGTTTAGTTGGCAATTTTGTACCTTTATTCAACTAATTTTTGATGCCTTATTTGAAAGTTTCATTACATTGGAAAAAATTAGCCCAAAAACCACCCTAATGTTACATAGTATCTTAAGAAGACAAACAGTCAACGACATATAAAACTTTTAAACAGAACAGCGATCTTGGCCAATCACATTTAATGTTTTCATTTTAACCAGCTTGGCCTGCCTGTCAAGTACAGTAGAATACAGCCTGTAGTAACACTAGACTTGCATCATAACTCTCACACATACTACTGTACCGTAATATGTATACAATGTCTGAATGCTGCACATGTATGTACACACACTGCTGTTATGTATTGTCATTCATACTTGTAGTTTGTATTGACCTGGAGAGAGATAAAGGTATACCTGTTTTATTTATTATTATTCTGTTTCTTAGTGATCAAAACTTTCATAAAATTTTGTTTGCAGTTATCATTATTGTATTCTATTTAATTTGTGGATTTTCCCACTTTTCTCATGGTAACTAAGCCTTCCATATTTCCTAGATTCACCTATACTTGTGTAATCAAAAGTGGAGGTCAGTGTTTCAACCGTGATAATTAACGAAGAAAATTCAGAGTTTGATTTTGTAAATTTGATCGTTTTAGTTTCCACCAAAGATTTATAGGAAAGAAGTTGAGACAAGCATGTTAGTTTTATTGTCATTAGCATCTATACTAGAAATTAATATCACTAAATATTCGTGCTATTGGCATTCACTTTTGTTGCAAATTCCCACCAGCCCATATATATATATATATATATGCATACAAACATCACACAATACAATATGCAGTAATAGTTTCATTTTGAGTTTACTTATTGATTAAATATATACATATATTAAAATTTTTTTCCTTTGTTTGAATGTTGATTTAAATACTAAATGTTCTTTAACATTAAAACTTGTGTATTTGAGAGTGAGCATACCAGTGATTGAAATGTCATGCCTGTTTTAAAAATAAATGTTACTTAATGTCAAAGCTGTAACTTTAAAAAAAAAAGTGTGTTAATGTAACTAACTGAGCTGTATACACTGAACTGTGTCACTACACATAGTCATTCACACTCAGTTAAAGTCCATACAAAATTTACCTGAATAAAGCAGCACAGAGGTGCAGTTTGTCATTGATAGAAAGTTTAGTGACTAAAATAGCATTCCAAGCCAACCACAAGAGCTAACTTTTCCTAATGTTTTCAGCCACTTTTGGTGGATTGTACCAACATTTCTCTTTTTTAAACAAAAAAATGGTTCAAAATATATTTTTGTGGGGGTTCAAATTTTTGAGTTTGTAGTTAGGGAATTTACTGAGGATTTTGGTTGAGGATCGGAGTCAACATTATGTGTGTAGTGAGGGCATGGATAAGTGCACAGTAGACTGTGATGCTGTTTTGAATAAGGGTCTGTTCCAGGGTGCTAGTCGTCTGTCGGACAACATGGGGGGTTTAAATTGGTCATCCGAGGAAGTTTTTAGTTAAAATTGAGCCCTGCTAAGTCCCTTTAATCGTGAGCACACCCCCTGAAAAACAAAATAATTAAAAAATCCAATCAAATTTGAATTAAATAGAAAAAACAACTATATTTTGATTAGTTGGATAGTTGGAATAATCTAAAAATAGGAACACTCAGAAACCCTAATTCTGAGTGGTCAATTATTTTCCTGACAATAAACATAATCATAATTTTGATGATTGTTGGAATAATCAATCAGTAACAACTGAAACACAGGTTTGATTGGTTGATTACTTTTGTGATAATCAACATAATCATAATTTTGATGATTGTTGGAATAATCAATCAGTAACAACTGAAACACAGGTTTGATTGGTTGATTACTTTTGTGATAATCAACATAATCATAATTTTGATGATTGTTGGAATAATCAATCAGTAACAACTGAAACACAGGTTTGATTGGTTGATTACTTTTATGATAATCAATATAATCATAATTTACATGACATGTAATTACTGTTCCTAAGTGATTGAATTTATCAATTAAATTGCACAGTGTTAAATGTGATATTGCCTACTTTCTTTCCAAAATTTTAATTTTTTTCATATTTGTGTATTTATTCAGAATAATCTGAATCATTAGATACTTCAAAGCTGCACCTATAAATCAACACTATTTCAACTGTACTTACACATTGTCACCCCTTATGATGTATAAGCCTAAAACGACCTGCTCAACACCATGACTCGAACTGTACACTCTTTCATGACTCTCATCCAAAATGAGATTAATTGTTTGGTCAAAGCCTTTCAAGGTGCCCTGCAGAAATAAACAGACAAACCAATAAATATTCATGCATATATCCATCTTCAAGATACAAGCATTTAAAAAGCATGTGTACTGTGCTAAGTCTAACTGTAAAATATTATAGAAAAAAGTAAAATTCTGAGTGATCTTTTTCTTTGTTCTGTTTTTTCTGAACTTGAAAATGTTATACAAGATGTTGTAGAGCCAAGTACTAAATTCAAATATTTCTTAAGATGAAATATGATGAAAAAAAATTTGTTTATATAAATACATTCATTTTTGAAACAATAAATAAAAATTCTGATAACAGTGAAGCTTATATATAAACACTATTTTGGTAACACTTAAGATAATGTGTGATCAACAAATGCTTTGGAGATCATTTTTTATCAAGCACTGCTTTGGTGACACTAATTGTTTGTGATCAGTTACAGTTTTGCTGACACACTGTACATGTAATTTAATACAATTTTATTTGCATAACTATGACAGACTAGCTGAGACTAAGCTATGAGTTACGTTTGGGGGTATGTAAGCTATGGATGGGTATAGTGGAAATTCTAAGCCTTCCATACAGGAAACTGGGTGACAGTCCCAAAACAAGCAATTTGACAACAAATGAAAATGGCAATTCTACAATCTAAAATGCACTTCCACATAGTGATTGGTATTTCCAATTAAGGCTGAAAAATAGAAATAAATATACTGCTGTGTGTTATTAGTTGTTCAGACCACAACATTCCTTAGCATCATGCGTATGATACTGCATCATAATATGACTGATAACATAATCTTTTACCGATCTAATAGAGATTTCCAGTAAGAAGAGTGTGTACAATATCTTTGCAACTATACCTTTGGTTTGTTGTGTGACACTAACAGTAAATTTGCTTTATACCAGAGCTCATCAGGTTGGCTAGAAAACTGTGTTTGGTTAGTGAAGAATGATGTGATTTTAATTATGATTAGTCTAACTGTAATATAATATCCATATGTATCTACATTAGACCATTACATATCAGCAGTATTAAATGTCTTCATTATGTGTATTACTCACAAGAATACAGCCATCTTGCAGTTGAAGATTATTCTCAACACTTTTCAAATGTCTATGCAAGTTCTTACTTTAAAAATTCATTAAATTTTGATTAGCTTTTGCAGTGAAGTTTCAGTTGCTTTGTTATGGCTTCAGCCAATTCTATTAGGCCAACTGTCATGCATTTTGTTATGATAACATTTATCTCTGCTAACTGCTTGAATAAAACTTTTAATTAATTTGAGAGATTCTACTAATATTTATTGACCAATACAAACATAGTAAGGAGCCTTCTAGGTGCCTTTTCACTACAAAGTAGGAGCAATAAACTCAAATGAAGTTATAGCTTTCCTACAAGAAAACATGTTTAATGACCATTAAGAGCAACCCTGGTTCCATGAATAATTAGAGTAAGAATTTAAGACATTTACTTGATCAACTTTCCATGTTGAAACAAAAGCAAAATACGCAGAAATTTCAAAACATTACATCTTAACAAAGGGGATAAAAACATATGGTACTTCCAAGTAGCACATCAGTATATATAATTGATTAACTGTGAATAAAACAACACTGTCATGATATAAAATTCCAACTTGGCTAGCAGATATAAATGGATAAAATACATACTGTTACATGCATCATTTTAACACGATTTTCACTGCTGGTATGAAAAAAAAAATTTTATTTCTATGTTCTTCAGCACCATGAGCTACTACAATGCAGATATGAGAAGAAACAGACAACATAATTACAATCAGTTACATATACTGTAAATGGTATTTCTACCACCATACTATTACATTAGGTTTTCACTACCACTATTATGTATGTGCAACTTTTATTTTAGCCATATAACAAACAAATCCTGACTAAAAATATTTTTTCAATACTATCAGGGAGCAGAGTAGCAATCCCTATGTAGGGATGGGTTCAATTAAAAATGGCAGCCTGTACATTGCATATGGTAGCGTGTACGCCAGGACATTGGCATAATACAGCCAAAAGATAAAGACAAAAAGCCCTTCATTAATCAAGTACAAAACTGCCTCTAAAGTTCAGCTAACCTTCCTTGATAGAAACTAGGCCACAAAAACATTGATTTTCTTCTTCTCTGTCAGCCGTAACTCGTAAACCACAGAGTGCCTATGACCAGCCTGCACACCAAAACACTTCACTACTCTCTAGGATGTGATTTTCATAGGTGGAACAGCAAGTGACTTACGATAAGTTAGGTACAGCCCAAGGTACTAATCATGGTCTGTGATCAATAAGCCACTATATGCATTATATGGAAGTAGATAATCTACCATATACTCCTTACCGCACCACGCAGTATCATGGTCATGGCTTGTCTTGCTTCAAGAAGTAACATCTGTAGATTATATTATAGCTCCCTAGAGAACAGAATTGAATAAGTTGGTGAAATGATGCCTTCCACCTAGAAGTTACAGCCCCACTGGAAGCCAAGACTTTGATTTGTAAGAAGTACAGAAACTAGTAACAAAACATCTTATTCTGCACTTACAGGTTGGAATGAAGGAATGGGTAATGCAAATTTTCTTCCCATCCCAAATGCTCTCTAGTTTCTGATCTTTTTCTATCCCTAGATCCCAACAATGTTAGAATAAAATTTTTTGTTACTAGCTAAATTTAGACTAAAACTATCACATGTATATAGTGTACAGTACTGTACTACAGAATTGATATAAGTATGATACTCATATTTACTTGAATCTTTATCATGAACAGGTGTATATTAAACCACAACAACTTTGAGGAAGACACTAAATTGTGTCAAACACATGGCAGGTTTTTAACTATTTGGTTTTAATAAAACTGTTTTACTCCTTTGTGTTTTAGACTTAATTTCATCTAGTGTGTTGTAAAAAGGTTGCTAGTGGTAAATTACCACTATCTTGTTACATGCACATGATTTAGTATATTTTAATTTTCACTTCAATATACACTTAATGAAATATTTAAGAACTATTGAAATCAAAACAATTTTTTACTTACCACAATATTTCTGCCATCAGCTGTGATTACAGATACCGTATCTGTCATTTCTAAGTTAAGGGTATTTGCAACAACTTATCAAGAGCTATAGTTTTATATACACTGTACTTGTAAAACAATATAATAACACAACTGTAAATAAAATTTGCAGTATTTGTTCCTCAAGAGTGACATTAGTTGTGTTAGATCTAAAAATTTGTAACGGGGGTAGGATGAGAATCATACTGTCAGTAAATCAACTAAAATTCAAAACCAGGCCACCAGGTACTGACAACCATGTAGGGGTAGGAAAGAGAATCATACAGCCAGAAAGTCGACAACAATCTAAAACCCAGTCCACCAGTAACCAACATGTAAGTGGGGGTAGGAAAGAGGAACATACTAGCGGCAAGTCAACTACAATCTAAAACCCAACCATCTGGTGTGGGTAAGAAGGAGGGAAACCTATGAATGGGCACATGATAACAGTGTGAGACTTGAATGATCAATCCGGGAATCCGTCACTGGGAACTGACACTCACATGGGGATAGTATGAGGGATCCTCATCGAAGAGGATAACTGCAATTTTTGACAGCTCACTCCCATGTTACATAATGGAGGATATCTCATCATCTACACCAGCAGAACATCATCACCCTACTCTCAACTGAATGGTTTTATAATCATTTATATATATATATATATATATATAT